AAATAAATAAATAAATAAATAAATAAAATGTATTAGCATAATCTAAACAATGCATCTTGATCACTTATGTGCTTATAAATTCAATAATTTTGGTGACTGTGGGAACATGTATTAATAAGTCAATATATTCTGAGTCCGCTCAACTAAGCAAAGCAATGGACTAAACCAGCAATAGTCTGCTCCTGAGAGTCCTGAGTGCTAATTTTACTCACTTAAAGGCTGACTCTGGTCTTTTGATGTCCATGGACCGTTTGTTTGTTTTGGTTTGTTGTTGTTGTTTAGTTTTATTTCATCATCATAAACTTAACTCTGCAATCCAGCTAGACTTGGAGGGGAGTAAGGAAAATATGAACCCATAGAACTGCAGCGAGCACACAAAGATTATAGGATATTTCGAGCAAATGGGGGAGAAGGGGTGCTCTCCTAAGCTACAGAAGGAATGGGCTAGTAGTTAAAACAGAATTCAAATTTATTAGATTTGTCCACAGTCGGCAGTGGTGATCTTCTTGCTGGTCTTGCCATTCCTGGACCCAAAGAGCTCCATCCACAATATTCCTGCCCTCCCTCACCTCGCCAAAGACCACATGCTTGCCATCCAACCACTCAGTCTTGGCAGTGCCGATGAAAAACTGGAAACCGTTTGTGTTGGGTCCAGCATTTGCCATAGACAGGGTGCCAGGACCCATGGGCTTCAGATGAAATTCTCATCATCAGATTTCTGCCCATCGATGGACTTGCGGCCAGTGCCATGATGGTGCGTGAAGTCACCACCCTGGCCCAGAAATCCTGGAATAATCATGTAAAAGCAGGGATCTTTATAACTAAATCCTTTCTCCCCAGTGCTCAGAGCACAAAAGTTCTCTGCTGTCTTTGGAACTCTGAAGGCAGCTTGAAGGAGACGCAGCCCAAGAGCTCGCAGTCCAAGGTGATGTCAAAGAACCTGGTGGGGTTGACCGAGGGTGGGCAGCACTGGTGACCCCAAGCCAGCAGCATCTGCCCGTGGGCCGTTCCTTCTTGACTGATGTAGTTGGAAATAGTAGTCTGCAATAGGACTGATTCCATGCCGAAGTGTCTCTGCAATCCTAACAGCTCCTCTGGCTGTGGTTTATCCATCTTTCCAAATGTTTATCAGAGAAATCATTTGAACTACAGTGGCTTACATTTTAAGGAGGGAAGGGACACCACAGATCTGCTCTCCCGGGTCACAGATCCAGAAAAGAATAGGCACTCTGCCCTGAGCAGGTGATGCCTTACAAGACTGAACTTCCCTCTGTGTGCCTTTTTGTTGGTGTTGTGTATTGTTTTTCTTTCTTTTCCTTTTTAAGCCCAAATTTAAGAACAAAGAGAATAATGATGAAATCTCAAGTTCAGCAGAACATGAAGCTTTGAGTGGTAAAGAGACACCATTTGTTTTATGTAGCTTGAGTGACATTTGAATTGAAAGCAATAAAACAAGAGAAAACAAAACAGTTTTTCTTAAAATTCCTGGATAAAAAAATATGAGAAAGTTTATCTGACAATCAATAATGTAAGGCACTTGGGTTTCAGTGGCTTGTGAAGCAAATGATAAAAGCCCTTTGCTGGCAAGTCTTTTAGACCTTGACCACAAGAACCCATTTATAAAAATAATGATGACCAAAATTCTTCAAGTTGTGATAATAGTTGAAAAAACGAATCTTTCAAAGTTAAGATAACTTGAAATGTAAAAAAAAATACTTCAGAAAAATATTTGTTCTATATTTCTCATTTCATCTGGTGTTTCCTACCCTCAAAAACTTATATTTATTTGATCCTTTATCAAATATTTTTTTCCTCCCAAGTGGCCCTGAGATTAAAGAGTTCCATCCATCATGCATGTGCTGAGATTAACAAAAGAGATGCTCAAACCTTAAAGACTTCTAACTCCTCCAGAATGAGCTCACCCCTGGCGGAGCCGTTAGCAGGAAGAACCACCACCTTCTGCACAGTGCCTCGATCTAAACCAAAGGAAAAAACACACAAACAATGAGATGCAGGAAAGAAAGACATTTAAACATAAGACCACTGACTTAGCACTTAGAATACTATTTATGTAATTACTTAGTCATCAAAAAGAGACTGTATATATTGAGCTATAGTCCAAATCTCATATGTGTAAATGGAGATTCTATATAATTCAAAATGAACCAATATAACATCTGATATTCTGTACCTATTTGGTATAGTCATAGTTATGAGAGAAGAAGAGAATGTCCAAATGTCTGATAAAGTCAAAAGTTCTGTTTCTCAACCCAGTGGTGTGTATTCTTCAAGTAGTAATACATAATTTTAAGTTTGGCCCTTAAGAATATTACTTAAATCTCCAAACTAACTTTGTAAAAAGTAAGACTCCGTGTTTTGTTAACCTTGACACATAATGATTTGATTATCTGAGAAAAAAGATTATTACAAGTGAATTTTTATGATAATCATATTATAAACACTAGTACTAGAAATTTACATATGATCTAAAGTTGGGAGAGATTTCAGACACAGTAAAATCTTTTACTCACAATTCGAAATAATTTTCAGAGCAGAAACATAACTGTGGTCTCAGATCAGATGTGGACACCTATTCATAGAATAATTCTACTGTTTTCACACATACACATACTCGGGAAATGTTTTTCAGATACTCTTAAAATTCAGGGGAAAATATGAAATTAGATGGTCCAAATAAACTTAAGCAAATAAAAAATTTACTCATAGTTCCAATGAGATTGCCAAAAACAGAGATGCCCAATAAATGTCATACATGCAGGAAATGTTATTTATGCCAATATTTTTAGTTAAGATAGTTTCATATGTCACATATAATTTTCTACTTTTAAGCATATAATTTTGCCACTCTACTAATCACACAAATTTGAGGTTTAAAGGAAGCTAGTTGAGATTCGGCAGTGTTGGGTTAAAACAAATTTGCAAATTATTTGATAAAGTAAAAATATATTTCCTCACCAAAACATGTTTCTATTATAATAATTAATGAACTCTATCATAAATATCAAGTCATTACTTTTAAGTATGAGCATGTAACTGTGGGTATATGATTTGGAAAGATGTATTATCACATTATCATCAACAGATACTGGAACATTTTTAAATTCTGTTGAGAAAGGTCAGTAAGAGTTCATTTGAGAGGAGCCTCGGTGGCTCAGCTGGTTAAGTAACGGACTCTTGATTTACGCTCAGGTCATGATCTCAGGGTCCTGAGATGAAGCCCCATTCAGGTTCCACGCTGGGCATGGAAACTGCTTGAGATTCTCTCTCTTTCTCTCTCTCTTAAAAAAAAAAAGTTCATTTGAACTGAGTTTTACCAGGCTAAATTTACAACTAGGAATCATTTTGTGATGAATACCATAATTTCCAAATTCCACATCTCAAACTGGCCTGTTTTCCACAAGCAAGAGTATCTCTGACATAAAAGATCCCATTTCAGGGCACCTGGGTGGCTCCGGCAGTTAAGCATGGGACTCTTGATTTCAGCTCAGGTCATGATCTCAGGGTCCTGAGACTGAGCCCCACGTTAGACTCTGTGCTGGGCATGGAGACTGCTTGGGATTCTCTATCTTCCTTTCCCTCTGCCCCTATCCCCTGCCCCTCTCAGGAAAAAAAAAAAAAACTATTTCACATTTACATTTTCTTTTTTTTCTTTTTAAATTTTTAAATTTTTTATTTTTCATTTACATTTTGTATCTTATGAGCCTAATTGAAAGATTCAAAATATTACTTTTTTTTAAAGTAACCTCTACACCCAACATGGAGCTGAACTCATGACCCCAAGATCAAGAGTCAGATGCTCTACTGAATGAGCCAGCCAGGTGTCCCTCAAAATAATTCTTAATAAAAAAATAAACTCTACTTTAAAATGCTACCAACTAAAAAATTAAAACCTACTAAATAATAATAAAAATGCACAGAAGAACAAGACTTAAGGATTTTGCCAGAACAATCCCTGAACCCTATGAGGATACAAATTATGTGCACCTGATCTTAGAAGTTTCAAACTATATTCTGTAATTTAAAATTCATTTCTTATGCCATATTCTAAGATAAATAACAATCTCAAAGCTTTGAAAGCTCTAGGTATAATTAAAACTCTTTGAAATTTCTCTGTTTTACTATCAGCTTCCTTAGAATCAGCCCTGGTAACAATTTCTACTATTTTTCTTGGAAGATAAGTAATACATGTATAAATCTGAAGGGAAAAACAATATTTGGGGATGCTGTGCAGAGACATGTCACAATTAAACTGGATGAATGTGGTTGCAGGTGTTCCTCAATTTCTATTAATAATTCATCACCAAGAACCTTGGAAACTTCTGAGGGAATAAAATATACCAAAATCCCTAAAATGAAAGCTTTGAAATTGTAACAGCTAGGGCAGGGTTTGTGTAGAATTGTGTGTGTGTGCGTGTGTGTGTGTGTGTGTGTGTGTGTGTGTGTAAAGAATGAGGGCATAAAACCATCTTGGTTTTAGGTCATGTTATAAGAAACATTATACTTTTTTTTTTTTTTTTTTTGAAGAGGTCACAACAGAGTTTTATGGTTCCCTGCTGCAGTTTGTAAGGATCACTGTCATTCTCTCTGACAGCAATGACCTCTTTCTTGAGCAGAGACTGAGCAGAGACTGGGTATAACCACAGTCCCAAATAAAATTGCAAGAAAGGGAATCTTGACTACAGGGATTCCCAAAGATAAAACTCTCAGCTCTGAAAAAAATTAAGTATTCTCAAATGAGACAACTGGCTCCTGTTTTTAACCTAATGTCTTAACTATGTGAGCAATATTTTACACAAATCATCATTTCTTTTGAAAGAAGCCACAAGAAACATACTTTCCTCCTCATACTTTTCTCATTATAGCCACAAGAAAAGTGGCTATAAAAATGGGCTAATAAAAAGATAATGTAATACTTGCTTTTGACTCATTTGAAATAAAAGCAAGAACACCACTTTTATTTACTGCTTGTCTTCCTGTTTGAGTTATTTTTTTGTTTTGCTGGTAATGATGAGTAGATTCCCTTTTATTTTAAGACCTTTAAAGGTAAAAATATATTTTTATACCAAGTAAAACTGAATGTCAACTTATCTGAAACTCTCGCAAAAATATAAGTAACTTTAAGAATTGATAACATTTCTACTTGAAAATCAAGTTCAAATAAAATCATAGAAATGCAAGATAACCAGAGAGAAACACATAATTATTGAATGCCTACTATGTGCCTGGTTCTATGGTAAAAATGTATTATTTAATTCTGATTTCAAGAAAATAAATATCCATTTAATTCCTTTACTCTTCCATGTTTAGGCATGGATTAGTACTTTATGAGCTAATATTTCTGCAGAGTTCTTCATTATACTGGTTCAATGTGTATCACAAATGAATATATTGGTTCTTTTTAGAATTCCATATATTAAAGTTTTTAATGCATAAATTAGAATAGGCATTCAAAAGTGTGGATTCAAATATGAATACAATAGCTTTAAATCTTTGTGGCATTGTTAATCATCACTTTTAACAATAGTTAATTTAGGCTTTATGAGACCTTGAATTTATGTAATTGGGAAGCCTTCTTTAGGGAAAATAATTCGTAAATACAAAAACAGAGTTGTTTGTGTCTTCCCCAAACAATTGCAAATGAGGAACTCTCAATTTTATGCTAAGTCCACCTCTAATAATTAGCCTAGTTTTCTGAAAAAAAAAAAAGGAAAATTGTCCATAAAACTGGACAATACATCCTTTACATTGAAGAATCTCTATCTAATGAAATTTCATATATATCACTACAATTTTATTGTCCAAGATCATCTTTCACAAGTCAGCAAAAGGTTGAAAAATTTCTTCTTCAGTTAAATTTATCTGTGTCTCTTTTATTGATTGGCCTTTCTTCTATAGCTACCAAGAATACACTCAATCTCTTTTTTACACCCCTCCACATTTATCTTTATAATCTCTTCCTCTGGTCTAAACATCAACACTCTCTTCAAGTACACTTATTAAAATTCAAAACCAGGGTGTCTGGATGGCTCAGTCAATTGAGCATCTGCCTTTGGCTCAGGTCATGACCCCAGGGTCTTGGGATAGAGCCCTGCATTGTATCCCTGCTCAGCAGGGAGTCTGCTTCTTCCTCTCCTTCTGCCCCTCTCCCCTGTTCGTGCGTGCTCTCTCTCTCTCAAATAAATAAAAAAACAAAAAATTAAAAAATTAATAAAATTCAAAACCACACCTTTTTGCTTGCCTTTCTCTGGACACTGCCGTTTGGCATTATCCTATTTAAAATGTGAACAGAATTATAGATGTTTATGCTGTTATTTTACCAAATGCCAGAACTCACTGAAACTGGACTATTTAAAAGACACAGCAACAGTTCTAGTAGTTGACCTCACACATGTCAGAATGGCTAAAATCAAAAACACAAGAAACAAATGTTGGCAAGCACGTGAAAAAAAAAAACCCTCGTGCAGTTGGCAGGAGTGCAAACTGGTGCAGCCACTCTGGAAAATAGTATGGAGTTTTCCCAAAAGTTAAAAATAAAACTACCCTATGATCCAGCAATCGCACTACTGGGCATTTACCCAAAAAATACAAAAACACTAATTCAAAGAGATACATGCACCCCTATGTTTATTGCAGCATTATTCACAATAGTCAAATTATGGAAGCAGCCCAAGTGTCCATCCACTGATGAATGGATAAAGATGAGGTGGTGTATATATACAATGGAGTATTATTCAGCCATAAAAGGGAATGAAATCTTGCCATGTGCAACAACATAGATGGAGCTAGAGAGTATAATACTAAGCAAAATAAGTCAGAGAAAGACAAATACCATATGATCTCACTCCTATGTGGAATTTAAGAAACAAAACAAATGAGCAAAGGGGGAAAAAAAAAGAGAGAGAGAGGCAAACCAAAAAAAACAGACTCTTAACTATAGAAAACAAACTGATGGTTA